TCGCCATCACGAATGTAGACCAACTAACCCAAGCTTCTATGCTCGTGAACGCTTTCTACAATATTGTGCAGTTTCCCGGGTACGATGTGAATGGTTCCTCCTTGCATTGTCCCAATCCCTGTTAATTACGTGCAACTTTGGAAATTGCTGGGGATTATGGCTGGGGATCATTTCGACCACCCGTGGCTTTGTAGCGTTACATAGATTTAAGCAGTACCGTGACGAGCATGCTTGAAATTCGCGTAGCTGGAAATTCAGCCAAACCGACTGCGTTTCGTGTCCCGAAACATTGATCTCGGCGTATGTTGACAGTCTATATGAATACTAAAACATTACTAATCGTCCACACTGTTCAGTCAGTCACCTAAATAATGTTTTCGATGCACGCAGGATGGTTGTCCTGCCATAGTTTGCTACATTATCGAGCGTGAGAACCTCCGATTTCTTGCCTTGTTATTTAGACACAGTGGTCCTACCTCTTGTCGTCCCCTTCTAAATGCCCCTTCTTCTTTATTATCCAACTCATACTTCTCTGCATTAGAGTTACGCGAACAATCACTCATTCCAATGCTTTGACACCGTCGTGCAACAGCTTCTTAGTTTGCAGTGTGCAACGGTTTGGGGCCTGGGCTATCGTGCGATGTAGTATGCCGCGATTGTCGCTTGGCGTTACGCAGGCAGAACCCCGTACGGCAGAGACATCTGTAGCATGCTGAGCGCATGCTCGCGCCAACAGCGTGCCCTTCCTTTTGTTCTTCGAGTGCCTTGGTGATCATATCAAGTGCGGGGCACTTCAGGGGCTTGAGCTTTCGTATGCGGTCTTCGCTTCGCGTCGCACAGCCAAGGGAACGTATCGGCACAAAAAGAAAGAGGAACAAGCGAGAAAGACAGAGAAAAAAAAAAAAAGACAAATAAGAATAAAACTACAATCAATTACATGCAGAGAGAGATGTAGACAGGAAAAACATCCTAGAAAATAAACAAACAAAAAGAAAAAAAATAAATGCAAAGAAACAAAGAAAAAGAAAGGAAGAAAAAAATAAAATAAACAAAGAACTCGAATAGATACAAAGGCCCGGCCAGCTTCTCACTTTCTTCAGGGTGGCACACTTTGATATTCAGGGGTTGGGCCGCATTTGAAGCCGTAATTCTTCGATATTCAGAGCTTCTGAACGGTTATTTCTAAGGGTCATAAAGTCAACAAAGGTTCAAATGAAGAATTCACGGTGGATCGGAATTCCAAACGCTCCACACAGAATCCTGTCCGGGCGTTACATCCGCCCTTTCAACACTATCTGACAAGAAAGGGTTGCTACGTTATACTCCGTGGGCGTAACCTCCTTGGTTTTAGAAAGGTTTAGTGAGCGTTGGGCCAAAGTGCCATGAATACAGTGAACTAGTATATACCATGAACTCGAGGTGGTTAAAGGTGGTAAGTAGACAGGAAGCGCAATCCATAAGAAAGTGTGCGTGTGCCACCTCTCGCTTAGTCCTTGGAGTGTGCGCTGGATGGCGGTCCTTCTATATGCGGAATATATGATGAAAAGATGCGAGATGGTGGTATTTAGAGTGTTGACTAGATGGATAAACGGACACACAGACAGATGCATGGACGGACGCACGGATGGCTACACGGACATATGGACGCATGGACGGACGCAGGGGCGGATGCTTGGACGAACGCAGAGATAGACGCATCGATGGACGTGTGGATGCACGAACAGACGCACGCACGGGCGGGTGGATGGACGCGCGGGCGGTCACACAGACAAACGCATGGACGGATGGAAGCGAGAACGAATGGATGGACGGATGCTTTGCCCTACTCTCCATCATTCACCCCGTGGGTATGCTGCCATTTTTTATGTGTTCTCGCACAGTAAAATTCACCGTCACGAATGTAGACCAACTAGCCCAAGCTTCTATGCTCGTGAACGCTTTCTACAATATTGTGCAGTTTCCCGGGTATGGTGCGAATGGTTCCTCCTTACATTGTCCCAATCCCTGTCAATTACTTGCACCTTTGGAAATTGCTCAGGGTTGGTATGCTTCATGAATTTTGACATTGCATAGCGACTCTGTGTGTATGAGAGATGGTGCAGAACATGGCTGGGGATCATTTCGACCACCCGTGGCTCTGTAGCGTTAGATAGATTTAAGCAGTACACGGGCATGCTTGAAATTCGCGTGGCTGGAAATTCAGCCAAACCGACTGCGTTTCGTGTCCCGAAACATTGATTTCGGCGTATGTTGACAGTCATTATGAATACTAAAACATTACTAATCGTCCACACTGTTCAGTCAGTCACCTAAATAATGTTTTTGATGCACGCAGGATGATTGTCCTGCCATAGTTTGCTACACTATGGAGCGTGAAAACCTCCGATTTCTTGCCTTGTTTTTTAGACACAGTGGTCCTACCTCTTGTCGTCTCCTTCTAAGTGCCCCTTCTTTTTATTATCCAACTCATACTTCTCTGCATTAGAGTTACGCGAACACTCACTTATTCCAATGGTTTGACACCGTCGTGCAACAGCTTCTTAGTTTGCAGTGTGCAACGGTTTGGGGCCTGGGCTATCGTGTGATGTAGTATGCCGCGATTGTCGCTTGGCGTTACGCAGGCAGAACCCCGTATGGCAGAGACATCTGTGGGATACTGAGCACATGCTCGCGCCAATAGCGTGCCCTTCCTTTTGTTCTTCGAGTGCCTTGGTGATCATATCAAGTGCGGGGCACTTCAGGGGCTTGAGCTTTCGTATGCGGTCTTCGCTTCGTGTCGCACAGCCAAGGGAACGTATCGGAACAAAAAGAAAGAGGAAGCAAGCGAGAAAGACAGAGAAAAAATAAAATAAGAATAAGACTACAAATCAATTACATGAAGAGAGATGAGTAGACAGGAAAAATATCCTAGAAAATAAACAAACAAAAAAGAAAGAAAAAGCAATGGAAGAAACAAAGAAAAGAAAGGAAAAAGAAAATAAAATAAACAAAGAACCCGAATAGATACAAAGGCCGGCCAGCTTCTCACTTTCTTCAGGGTTGGCCACACTTTGATATCCAGGGTTTGGCCGCACTTTGAGCCGTAATTCTTTGATACTCAGGGCTTCTGAACTGTTATTTCTAAGATCATAAAAGTGATTGATTTTGTGGGGTTTAACGTCCCAAAACCACCATATGATTATGAGAGACGCCGTAGTGGAGGGCTCCGGAAATTTTGACCACCTGGGGTTCTTTAACGTGCACCCAAATCTGAGCACACGGGCCTACGACATTTCCGCCTCCATCGGAAATGCAGCCGCCGCAGCCGGGATTTGAAATCATAAAAGTCAACAAAAGTTTCGATAAAAAATTCACGCGGAACTTAATTCAAATGACCACACAGAATCCTGTCGTGCGTTACATCTGCCTTTCAACACTAAACAGCACGAGGCCAATTCATTATTCTCTAAGCTGAGCGTAAGAGCTCAAATTATTATACTATCCTAAAAATTTTGAAACCCATTCTAAAAGTAGCCAGTCCACTCTGCGGTATTCGCATTATGCCTTCTCAGGTCCATTCCAATATTCTTTTTGATACTGTCACGCGCTTGCCAATATCGTTACAGCTGACGACGCTGTTATCGGGCTGCAATTTTTTCGCAAGCTATGTGCCTCATAGAGTGAGCAGAACAATAGGCAAATCGTTTTTATATGCTTAAGCAATACGGCGTTGTTCTACTCATCGTCCTTCGTTCAGCTGCGGTAACACACAATTTGGATATTGAACTTATGTGTAATACTCGTTCCACTTCGTTACCAGGGCGAGTTATTTGGGAACGGTTAAGTCACAGTTTCGCCACGTTGAATAACGTTGCGTGGTAGAAATTGGTGTTTCTGTACATGCTCCCACAGTGTGAGGGACACAACTCGAAATTATCCGAAGCCATTTCCTAAAACAACTCTGATATGTGGAGTCGCTTTGCACTGTTGAGTCACTCACACCAAAGCAATGCTGAGCTGTTTGCCAAAATACATGCAATCAAGAAGGATTGTGTATGTGAAAAGAGGAGCGGCCCAGCTGCATTTAAGGAGTGTATACCGCACAACAAGCTCAGTGCGCTTTCCTGCAAAGCTGTTCCGTATCGCTCAATCGCTACTGGTATGCTGACAGTCCGGTGTGCTTCCCAGCGAAACAAGAACAGCGCATTGGCGCATAAGAACTTGTACACGTGCTATCCGTAGTGTTTATATAGTATTCCTCAGCGATTTCTATTGGTTAGCACGGTGTTGTCCGTTTGCCTTCTTCTGTCCTTCTTAGTGTTGTACTGTAAGCTACTGAAAAAATGTATCGCAGCCAACTGACCCAACTAGCCGTTTTCCTTCGGTGAGATATTGGGAGTGCCTTTTGCACCTGCGCCGATTAGCTTCTATGCACCGTGTTCGCACCAAGAGTGGACGGCACTGTACATGCAATGTTGTGGCATTAAATGTTATGATATAGCAAATTGCGAGTACCGCAATATTAAAGGGTTGAGGAGTTTCTTGCAAGCCCGGAACCTTACGGGGAGAAATTGAAGGTGGGGGGGGATAAACATAGCGATAATATACAATAGCATCGAAGTCATTTTACACAGCAGTGCGGCTGACAACGCCAACACCACATGACTGCAACGACGTGTTCCGCAATGTACGCTGACAAGGTTAAAAGTTAACACCTCAATAAACTATGGCAACAAGTGACCATGTCGTGACAAACTGTGGTTATGGCGCTGAAGTGCTAACGTGAAATAATCGAATTCCGGCCGCTGCGGACCGTTTTTAGGTGGAGGCAAAACGCCAAAGGCCCGTTCGCTTAGATTTAGGAATACCTTAATGAGACCCAGGTGACCTAAACTTCCGAAGACCACCGCTACACGACGTGCCTCATGATGATGCCGGGGTTCTGTCACGTAAAGCGCCAACAATAGTTGCTGCTATTAAAATGACACGTGCGGCAAGTGGTGCAGAAGAAGCGAGCTTACCCTGGCCACTGATTAAGGCGGCGTGGGCAGCGACCACAAGGACGAGAGTCGGCCATCGGAGCGGAGAGAGCATTTTTCACAAAGACGGCAGGCCTGAATGCGGTCAGATTTCGCTAGCACGTCCAGGCTTCGCTTCCGTCCCTCGCAAAAAGGGCGAGAGAAGCCTCTCGCAGAAGAGGTAGGAGCCTTCGCGAGATATTGAAAGTCGCCGCACTCTACGTATCGTCTATTCAACGCTCCTATCAGTGCCTACATGTGCCGCAGTTATCAGTTTTTTTTTTGTAACTGCTATACGTGAAAACAATATGGGTACACGGCGAATCGAATGGATAAGTTTCAGTGAGACTCTTTTTTTTTCACTCAGTTACAGCGCAACACTCGCGAGAAAATAGAAGGAAAACGGACAACACGGCACTAACTCGCAACTGATATTTTATTAAAAAAAACAAAGCTGAAAAATATATGTTACTAGGTGTATAGAACTTGTAATGCGCATAACAAAAAAATCAAGGAAGCGTTGACAAAAAAAATGTTTTTGATAATCAAGAGTGGCGCAGGGTAACTACATTCTTTTCATGTCGTGTGACTAATTGTTCACTTGTAAACGTGCTATTCGTAGTCGTTATATGGTAGACCTCAGCGATTTCTATTGTTAGCACGGTGTTGTCCGTTTCCCTTCTTCTGTCCTCCTTGGTGTTGCGCTGTAAGCGAGTGAAAAAATGTACCCCAGCCAACTGGCCCAGCTTGCCGTTTTGCTCCGGTGAGATATTGGGAGTGCCCGATTGCCGAATATTTGTCAACCGATGGTACTTATCAGTGCTGGCGGTAAAACCGCTTCGAGAGTTCTCGCGTTTCTAGCGGCGTTTCAATGAACGTAATCTGTACGTCGCAAATCAAATAATAGCTTACGATAAGTTTGCAGTGGTAATGGCGTTACGAGCTCAAGAGAGAATAGGGCTCCACGCGTGGTGTTGATATTTCTGAGTAGGCGCGGTGACTCAATGCGGGGCAGTGCGGGAATGAAGTGCGTTTAACCCCCGTATTCACAAGCGCTCCTTGACTCGACTTTCACCCTTCACTAGTCAGAGTTGAGCACTGCACCACCAACTGGCTGAAAATGACGCTGCTCTACTCAAGAATTGCAACAGACCGTTGCTGATATGCAGTGACTTGCCGTGACTAGAGATGGCGCTCCCATCGGATTTTTCAAGTGAAGGCGTAGCATTGAGTGAAGGCAGGTTCTAGAATACGGGGGTTATTCTGGTGGCTGTACGAGCTGCGCATTATGGCATTCTGTCTACGGCACGTAGTTCACGTGAACGTTCTTAAATAATTGTTTAAAACCATAATGTAGTACTGACACGATCATCTAAAAATGGACGCTTCTCTCTTATGTGGCATGCATTGTTAACGCTCTTTACACTGCAGAGTCGGGCAACACGCACAAAATAATATTCTCATTTTAGCCTTTTCGTTTCTAAGCATAAGCAAGTGAATCCCACCGCAATGGATGTTATCCCGTCGAGTCATGATAGCCCAACAGTGTTTTCGGACTCTGTATCCGGCATTCAGCCTAATTAAAATTAAAATAAAAAATCACGGCTGGGATCACTGGACGATAACTCACTTGTCGTTCTTTATGGATCGGCCGCTAGTACGTCCCGAGCTCTAATCTCTGTACTACGTCACACTAAGTTTAAACGTAAGTAAGAAGTCCCCTCTTTGATGTCACAATCAAAATTTTTTAGGGGCGAAGCTCCTTATGGCGTGGCTTGGGCGTCCCTCGTATGTAACCACCAGTGGCACATACCCGAAATAGGTATAACACTTGACCTCCAAGGTGGTGCCAGTGAGAGATTTCTTCTGTGCGTTGTTTAACAATAAAAAATAGTGCTCAATGTACATGCCAATGGCTGCTAATGGGAAATGAGAGACATGAGCATTCGGCTTTTAGTCAACGCGCACGCTGCGATCCCCATTAGCAGCCATTGGCATGTACATTGAGCACTATCGGACAAGAAAGGGATGCTACATTATACTCGCTGGGTGTAACCTCCTTAGCTTTAGAAAGGTTTAGCGAGCGTTGAGCCGCAGTGCCATGAATACAATGAACTTGTATATACCATGAATGAACTCAAGGTGAGTGAGTGAGTGAGTGAAACAACTTTATTCGGTCCACAATAGACGCGAGTAAACTCAGCGTCACCTGGCTAGGCCCACTCGGGGACCATCAGGTTAAACCTTACGGCCCTCGCGCGGGCCCTCTGGACGGCCAAGATTTGAGAGGTCTGGTCCTGGGCCTTAATGAGTCGCTTCATTTCCTCTTGGGTGAAAGGGGGACCGGCAGAGGCGCAGCCCCACAGTACATGCTCGAAGTCCGCATAACCACCACACAGGGGGCAGTCCGGGCTTGGAAACCGTTCAGGGTACATTGTGTGCAGTGCCGCAGGGCTCGGGTAAGTGTTTGTTTGTAGCAGTCGGAGAGTAACAGCTTGGGCCCTGCATAGCGAGGAGTGTGGTAGAGGCAGCAGTCTTCTTGACAGATAGTGGTGCTTGCATATCTCGTTGTACGAGCAGAGAGGCTCAGGTCGCCCAGGAGATGACGCGTTACCCGGCACACGGTCAGTCAAACCTCGTGCAGCCGAGTGCGCCTCCTCGTTGGGATTGAGCGAGGCACCCTCAATGGTTCCAAGGTGCGCAGGAAACCAGACCAATGAGTGATTTTTGAGGTCTTTGACTTTTGGATAATCTGTAGGACCTGAGGAGCCACCATGCCCATCTGGAAGGCCTTGATAGCGGCCTTGGAGTCTGAATAAATTGTGTCATGTACACCGTCCGTCAATGCAAGAGCAATGGCAACCTGCTCTGCAACGCTGGAACTAGAAGTGCGGATGGTAGCGCAGCTGATGACTCTGCAATCACAGTCGACGACCACTGAGGAGAAGGCTTCTTCTTGAATGTACGAAGCAGCATCGACGAAGCAGGCTCGATCCTTGTCCAAGCGGGCACTGGCGAGCAGAGATTTACCCCTGGCTCGTCTTCGTGCTTCGTTGTAGGTTGGATGCATATTGCGCGGCATCCGCGCAATCTGGATCTTGGATCTTACGTCGTTGGGCAGCTTCACAGCGTCAGGACCGACAACCGTGGGGTTTCGTCCCAGCATGCCGAGTATGGCTCTACCCGCTGGGGTGCCAGACAGTCTGACAAACTGTGCAAACTCTTGGGCTTCGACAATTTCTTCGAACGTGTTGTGGATTCCCAACTTCAGGAGGTCTTCCGTGTGCGTTCGAACGGGAATTCCAAGGGCCAGCTTCAAGACTCTTCTGATTAGGGCATTGATTTTGTTGCGCTCCGACACGAGCCAGTTGTGCATAGCCGCCGAATAAGCGAGGTGGCATAGCACGAATGCGTGGATAATCCGGATCAGATTGTCCTCCCTGATTCCGCGGTGCCTGTTAGCGATTCTTCGAATCACTCCGAGGGCGCTTTCGGTCTTGGAACAAATGCGTTTGACGGCGGCTCCATTGGCTCCGTTAGACTCGATAAACATTCCAAGGACCCTGATAGTGTCCACCCGCGGAACTGGGGAGCCCTTACCGGTGGATAACGTAATGTGGCTTTCCATTGCTGGCTTCCAGGACCGGTGAGAACCGCCTCTGGGCCTCTTCTTATACAGTAAGAGCTCGGACTTAGCGGGCGAGCACCTTAGCCCGGTGGGGATGAGATAGCGCTCCGTCACATCGATGGCCTCTTGCAAAGCACTCTCGACCTGACCCTCACATCCGCTGAGGCACCAGATGGTGATGTCGTCTGCGTAGATCGTGTGGTTAATGTTCGGGATTTTGTTCAAGGCCCTCGACAGGTTGATCATGCAGATATTGAACAGCGTCGGGGAGATCACCGCCCCCTGAGGTGTCCCTTTTGGCCCAAGGGTAATTTCGTGGGTAAAAAAATCGTCAATCTTCAGTCTTGTGGACCGCGACGAAAGGAAGGAGCGCACAAAATTGTACGCCCGTTTGCCGACGTGAAACTCAGACAAGCTCTTGAGAATAAAGGCGTGTGATATGTTGTCAAAAGCCTTTTCCAAATCCAATCCAAGAATCGCCTTGGTGTCGGTGGAGCCGGAGTCAATGATCGGGTGCTTGATCAGCTTCATGGCGTCCTGAGTCGAGAGCCCCGACCGAAAGCCAATCATGTTGTGGGTATAGTATTCGTTAAACTCGAGGTGGTCAGTGAGGCGGTTGAGCATGGCGTACTCGGCCACCTTCCCGACGCACGACGTCAACGAGATTGGCCTTAGATTCTCGCTGCTCGGTGCCTTACCCGGCTTGGGTATCAGTACTGTGCAGGCCGCTTTCCAGCTCTTGGGAATGAGACCGCTGCGCCAGATTTCGTTGATCTTGTCTGTAAGAAACTCGATCGAGTCGTCGTCGAGGTGCTTGAGCATTTTGTTGATTACCCCATCTGGCCCAGGGGCGGATCTGCTATTGAGGAATGCGAGAACCCGCTTGACCTCAGCCACGGTGAAGTCCTCGTCCATCGATGGCGCGTCGCGCCCCTCGTAGTCGGGAAACTGGGGAGGTACCGGATCGTCTGTGGCCGCCAGGTACTTTTCTATGAGCTTCTCCGTGATCGCCTCATCTGGAGTTGAGTCGGTGGCCAAATGGACAGCTTTCGCCAAAGCTCTCTTCTGATTGGACTTGGTGTTGCCGTCGTGCAGTAGGTGTTTGAGGAGTCTCCAGCTTTTACCGGTCTTGAGTTGGCCCTCCATAGAATCACAGAGCTTATCCCATTGCTGCTTGCATAAGACCTTGAATGATCTCCTACCGTTTTGTTGATTTCGGACATTTTCTTGCGCAGTCTTCTGTTATGGCGCTGAGTCTTCCATCTCGCGAGCAGTGCCTGCTTGGCTTCCAACAGATGCGCGAGCCTACTGTCCATCCTGTCCACCTCCAGATCGGTTGTCACCTCTTTGGTGGCGCTGGCCACATCTTCTTTTAACCCGTCGCACCAAGAGTCTAGGTCCGCATCCTGGGAACGGGCACGCTCGGAGCGGTTGGCTCGGAACAAGTCCCAGTCTATGAACTTAAAGGTCCTCGTCTTGTTGCGAACAACCTCTATGAGCACTTCGATGAT